TTTTTTTTCCAAGTGCTGAGAGGCCGGGGCCAGGCAGGGTATGGAGCCGGGCTGGACAGCCATGGGGGCTTCTCCCACAGCTCCTCTAGCTGTGTCTGCCTTTGCCCTGGCAGGGGAAACCACGCGGGCTATGCCGTGCTGCTGCTTGCCGAGCCACTGCGGGAGCCATGCCCTTATCCTGCTCCCCCTCCCCTGCCCCAGCTGGGCAAGCAGCAGCAGGGCAGAGCCCCTATTCCCAGCACTGCTGTGCCTGCATCCTGCACCCCCGTGGCCCACCTCCCTCAGTAATGTGCCCCCTGCCCTGGCTGGGCAGCTTATCCCAGCCCCAGCCCCAATCCCTCCCTCCCCCACCCCCAACAGACTTACCAGCTGGAGACAGCTGTCAGCTGCCTGTTTAGTCTATGGCTGAATCTCTGAATTGACCAAATCTTTTCAGAATCTTTTCTGAATTGATTTGGATGCTTCAAATTGATTCACAGCTTTCACTTGGTCTCCCAATTCAATTCAGATTTGGAGATTTATTTGCCAGATCGGGCTAAATCACCTCCAAACTGAATCAGCTAAAGAAGCTTCGCACAGCCCTAACAGGCAGCATGGTGTAGCTCTATGCCATTATTCTTTTGTATTAGATAAGACCCTTGCAGTCTAGATTCAGCCCATGAACCACATGTCAGACAGATAGTTTAGGTAAGGTTGATTCTGTGGGGCAAGGGGATGTAAAGGAATGTTATTTAAACAATGAATCACAAAATATATAGACATTTTTGTATCTCTGTCTAGAACGCCAGAAAAAAGAGAACTAGCTTTATTATTATTATTACTATGCCTTTACATTAATTAAAACTCACCAACTGGTCTGCTCTTGCTTCCAAGTCATTAGCAAATGACAAAAGATCCACTTTGGTAATGCTTTTATTGATCTGACAAGAGGAACGAAACAGCAGTTGAATAAGAGTGTTTCCCAATCTTGTACTCAAAACATCTTAAGTTGAACCCATACTTCAGTATTTATGCAGTAGTTGTACACCAATTTTGAAGTAATTATAAATGTGGTAGTAAAGGGATTTAAAATGTTGCTTGTATAACTTAGAAAAGGGCCCCAAAACAATAAATATGTAAATAGTCTTTACTCTCTGTGCCTATTAACACAAATATACAGCACGGTATTTTGTTCCCAAGGTACACCTGTTTCCAAGTCTCAGATCGTCATAAACCTTACCTCTGTTAAATATGCTGCAAAGTTGATTCCATCAACTCCGGAAGAGCTAAAGTTCAGAAGGTTCTGCCTCCCAGGTGCATCCAGTAGAATGATGCCACTGAGATTAATATTAATGTGCTCGATTTTAAGTGATACTTCTTCTGTATACTAACGGGGAGGGAAAAAAGCAGATGCAATAGTTCTCACTGAGCTTACATTCCTCTTATCATAAAACACTCCTCCATATGAAAACAGCTGCTTTTTTAGACTTAGGACTCATCACTTAGGGCACTACACAGGAAGTTAGTGATCAGATACTCCTCTTGGTTACAAAGATGTAAACCCATCTGAAGTTGGACATAGTGGCTAGGGACAGACATTACATATAAACCAGTTTAAATGATAAGAAATTGGTTTAAACCTGGAACAGAACAGATGTTCAGTGCACATAAGCCAATTTGAAAATGGCTGAAACCGGTTTGAGATGAACCTGGCTGAATGTAGTATCAGACTTAACTGATTTGGATTAAACTGGTTTATGCAATGTGTGCCCCAGACACCTTCCTGGCTTCAGTTAAATCAGAGTCCCCCAGCATCCCAGCATGCTCTCTGGGCTGGGTGGAGCTCTCTGCTCTAGAGAGCTGGTCTGGCCCCTCCCTTCCACTGCCTGGCTGCAGCTTTGCCAGAGACTGCAAGTACAGTGGGGTAATGTTTTTCCTACTGTCCAATCATTATTATCATTATCCCTAGTGAACAAGGGCACAATACTAAAAGTATTCTTGGGGCCACCAGGAGTCTGGTACAGTACTGTTCCTGGCCCAACAGCTAATGTCTGTTGGATAGGCAGGATTGGTCTAACTCATTGCACTTTCTGCTAAGCACCATGACTTAGACTGGGGAGCTACACTGCTGTCTGTGCCTCGAGTGGTGCTGACAGAAACATGACCAGGCTGAGAGTGAGGAGACTCAAATTCTGTTCCAAACTCTGCCACTGGGTTGCTGTGATACTCAGGGACAGGTTAATTCATATTGGTCTCCCTGCTCAGTTTTTGTCTGTCTTTTCTCTTTTGGATTGCATTTTTTTTATACAGGTACAATACTCAGTATAGCAGGACACTGATCTCAGCTGGATCTATTGTAAAAGAAATTCAAACTGCTAATTTCCCCAAATGCCATTTAATTCATCTTGACCAAAGCTAAACAAATTGCTAGAAGAACTTTAAATGCCAAACCCCACAAATAATTTCTCCTAACTCTTGACCAGAAAAACCCTAAAAGAACTCAAAAGTCCTGTTCAAGACCAAGTGAAGAAGATGACAACTGCAAAATGCCCTCCCACTCCAACAAAAGTTCTCTCTCACAGATACAAGTTTGAAACACTTACCATGCTAATATTTAGAAATTCATTTATATTGAAGAGACTTTCTAGATGAAGTGAGGTATAAATTCCTTTGTTTTCTTTGCAATCACTATGGAAATAGATTAAACATAAGTCAGTTAGAAAATTAGGTTTACTGATACATTTCTATTTTTTAAATGATTAACAAAGTAGACTGATTAAGCCAGTCTTGTTTTTTAACAAGTTCTAGCCTTATCTTTGGAGTTTCAGAATTTAGGAAGGAGAGAAGAGACAAAATTAGTAGCTTTTAATAAAAGCAGCTGGTGTTGTTCCACAACATTAGATGAAGAGTGCCTCTAATAACTGGTCTGCTTGTAAGACATTCACTTTTGTTAGTGATTCACTATCAAATTGGAAAATGATCTTATATGGCTTACAGGATTTTTTAGTGTTGGAAATCTGAAATGTGGAAGACAACAGGGACCAGAGAAAACAATGCATACAAAAGTACTATAAGTCATGGCAGAGAGGCTTTATACCTGTACACTTTTTCAAAGGTCAAGTTAATATCTGGATTTTTTAGCAAGATGCCGGAAAGGTAGTTTTTCCAATGTTGATTCAGTAAGTAGGGTGTATCGAGGACCTAGAACCCAAAATATAGTTACTATTATCATTGGATCATAGGAAAGTAGGTCTGGAAGGGACATCACAAGGTCATCTAGTCCTGCTGAAGGCAGGATCATCCCTGACTAAACCATCCCAGCCAAGCATCCATTTAATCTGCTCTTGAAAATTTCTAGGGATGGAGATTCCACAGTTTCTCTAGGTAGCTTGTTCCAATCCTTGACCACCCTCATAGTCTGAATGTTTTTTCTAATCTCCCAAGAATTTTTAGTGCTGTATTTTTCAGTTCCAGCATGCACTGGTTTTTAAACAACTATTCAATACCTTTGCATGTGTACACCCACACAAGCACCCCCATAAACACACATAGGCTCATACACACTTTATCAGCTGCTGCTAAGAAGGTGGAATGAACAGTCAGCAATGTCTCTGATGTGGGAAGTGCAAATTTGAACTCCACGTGTTACCAGAAGCTACTGTGTTAGAAAGACATTTCTCCCCCAGAGTCAACAAGCAGAAAATATTCATAGTGCACTGCTGTATTCTAAGTTCAAAAAAATAGATGAATAAGTATCAGATCCCACACTGTCTCATATGATGCGTCTCCCCTTTTAAAGCTATTAAAAGTTACGTTTATCTACCCACCACTTGCAGGGTGTTTTTTGTTATTTGTTTTAATAAGTTGGATGTGTCTGACTTCACCTTGAATAAAGTCTTGTCTTCAAATGGTTCACAAACGAGTTTTTCTACATTTCCGCCTGTAACAAAAGTGACCACAACTACAATCATCAGCACCCAGGAGAAAATGAAACTGAATCCAACGCCACTGAAAAAGAAAGAAGTCTAGTAAGTTTTTAAAAGTACGTGCATGAAGATAAGCTAAAAAAAAAGAAAAAGTGTAGCAATTACCAAGACCGTAAGATGACTATCAGATGAATAAATTTGTTCTTTCATTTTTGCCCCCCCAAAAAACTATTGTCACATGACTAATTGGAGACATAGTACATTATAAGCATACACCTTCCAGATGTCAGTTTTCGCAAGAGTTTTGAGTTCAAGTGTAGAAAATACCATGGACCAGCATTACATGTGCATCAGGAAATGCAACTTTTTCTCAACACAAAAAGTAAGCATACAGGTATTCAAGTAGTTTGCAGTGGAAAAGAGATAGCGATTCTGCCACAAACTGCTAGCTCTTTCAAGGAGTGATGACCTATCAATGCGCCCCATGACGCAGCCCCTTACCCAACGCCACTGATCAGCTGGACAGAGGAGACGTGTTCCAGCTGTTCTACCAGCAGTCGCAGTTCTTCTGGCCTGTGAAGCCGTCCCCTGCCCAGTGTTCTGGCTGGTAGGACGAGGCCTCCCAACAGCGCTGCCACAGCTGCTAAAGCTGGAGCTTGCCTTTGAGGAGTCTGAGTACCCCTCCAGTCAAAGGGCTGGAACACCTATACTCCCATCTCAATCTATTTTCCTACTGCTATGAATCTCCCAGAAATTCTTAGCACTGGAACTGAATGTTTGTCTATACAAGACCAGCCATTAGGGTCATTTGAAGGGCAGTGCAAATACCTAGGTTTACTGGGAATGATGTCTGAGAGACCCAAGCTTGGCCTCTTGCCCAGGTTGTGAGTGGAACATATTGCCCAGGTCAAATTAATTTATTTTTTTTAATTCAGACTGACAATGTTCTCTAGAGCAGTCTGGATAGAATTCAAACTGAATCATGCCCTGTACTCTTCAGCGAAAAAAGGATGGATTGAACCAGATACTGATATTTCTAAGGATCATCCTCACCGACTCCAAAAACCTAATGCGCCACACACAGCCTAAAGACAGAAATGAATCAGATGCCTCTAGTCTTCTGATGCAGCTATTCTAATCCTTCCTTGAGGGTTCAAATCATATTTAACTATATTTTATATAAAGCCTCTCTGCACTCTAATTAGCTCAACATAATTCACAATTTTACAGTTTCCAATTTGGTTTTAAGTGGATATTTGTTAGCTGTAGTATTTTCATTAGTCCAGTAAATTAACATAATTTATCTTCTCTTGTGATCTCGTAGAAAGAAATTACTGAATAACAACTCTAACTTGATTCAGTTTTAAAAGCACACCAGGGCTTGAACTTGCTTTCACCAAGATAATTTCCAAACATTTAACAGATATTTTGAGTTTAACATTTTTTGTTCACAGTTTTCCAATGTATTTATTTCTTTATACATAATAAAACCATGCCTTTTCAAACTATACTTCCTACAATACTGTGCTCACACTCCATGAGATAGTTGTATATTTCACTTATTTGTTAAAAGTAAAATATACTCACGCCATGAGAAAATTCCCTCCAGTATTTGAAACACAGCCTCTGGTTGTTGGAGAAGCATGCCTGTCATAGCCACAGGTGCCACATAGTAACCCAAGGTAATAAAAGACCAGGATAAGGATCACCATGCAGCAGAGAATTAGACAAGCCAGCCACCTAATGAATCAAATTAAGGGATTAAAGTTAAGGGATTAAAAATGTAAGACACACAATGCTCCAAAAGAAATGTTACAGATTAGAGAAGAAATATCAAATAGAAAAGAGAAAAATATTATGCACTGGTGACTAATAGTCCAAAAGAGGCAGAATCTTAGTAAGTTATTAACAGTAATATGCAAAAGGCAACAGAAAAATATGTAAATGTGATTCCAACTTTGTTATAAAACTTCCATTGTTCTTGCTGTAGGGATTGCTTCTTGTCTTAACATCAGGTTTAATAATTTTCTTTTAAGTAATATTGGAGTTCTGGTGTAGCCATGATGACCCAGGACATATGTGAGAGGCAAGGAGGTGACTTGAGGATGAGTGTACTGCATTTGAAAGCTTTTCGAGGTCTAATCTCAAGCATACAGTGGGGCCAATAACAGACATCACCCTTGCTTTTCACAATTTTTTGACATTTCTGTAGTTATAACATATGGGTATTCATACATATATCTTTTCGTTCCACAATGTGCCGGAGATCCAGCAGGTTGGATCAGACTTGATAAACTGACTCTACTCCACACGCGAGCTGATGCACGCTGAGCTGTGTTGCATGCAGTTGTATAAGCAGTAAAATGTACGGCAGCGTGCAGAAAATGGAGGTGGTGCACATTTGAACAAATACACCTCCGATGTGTTTTAGTTCAAAAGCGCATTACCACCATTTTCTCAGTGCTGACATGCATTTCACCACTTATACAACTGCAGGCACTGCAGCACCAGGTGCTTTTAAAAGCGCCCGGCACTGTGGTGCAAACATATGTACAAATGCCCCATGCTGTAAGTGCCCGTGTTGGCACTCCTCAATGGACTGCTGCTGTTACAAAGGTATATAATTAAAGGGATATAATCAACAGGATAGAGAACCTTCTTTGTAGGAATTATTGTTTCATTCTTACTCATAACAGAAATCAAACAACAGCTTAGATGTGTAGAATTTACCACACTTTCAAAAAATGATCCAGGTCCCTCTCTGTCCTTCCCTTACCCCCAATTATTTTCTCCCTTCACTTCCCTTCTTTTGTTTTCTCCTTTTACTTAATTCTTTCTCCTCTTCCCTTTTGTTACTGTTACTCCATAGTGGGTCTACATGTGCTATTAGCATGGTACAATAAATACTGGCACATACTGGTGCTGTAGTTTACTGCTCCTGGGCACCGTGTTTACATGACCGCAGCACGTTGAGCTGGGTTGGAGCTGCCCCAGCTGGTAGAGGGCTGGCTCAGTGTGCTGCGGGGCACAAGGGTGGGGCACAAGGGTGGGGCACAAGGGTGCTCCAGTGCATGGCTAGCCAACAGACAGCCCCACACTGAAGCAACCTTGTGCCCCAGCCAGCCCTGTCAGCATCGACAAGTGCACTGCTGTGCATTAAAAAAACTCTGCCAAAGGATAGTACTTGTATTTAGAAGTACTAACATGCAGCAAAGTTAGTTTCCTGCAGCTTAACAGGGTCGCGCATGTAGATATTGAGACTTTACTGCAGAACTAATTAGGCCGATCCACAGTAAATGTCTCATGTAGATGTGCCCCATATGTAATACACAAGAAGAAAATCAAGTGGAATACTGCAAAGGATAAAGGCAGGGCTAGCCATCAGCTCTACATGCAGTCTGCAAAGACTTGACATGAAGCCTGAGCCCCTTGCTCCTGCTGCTATGGGGGCTGAGGTCCCTGAGCTCCCCACAACTCCTCTCTGGCTTCTGCTTCCTACCCCATGCTTAGGGGACAGGTAGCACAGTGAGAAGGGACCTAGGAGAGGGGTCCATGCTGCCTGCACTATGTGCGCAGCTGGGGACAGGCCTCTGCTGCCTGTGTGGCAGGTGAGGGAGAAAGATCAGGCTGTCCCCGCAGCTGCAGGAAGCTAGGGTGCCTGTACTAAGGTGGAAGTTGACACTCAAAAATGAAAAGATCAGAAACTTAATATGCTGATATCTTTCTAGAATTCTGAAAATAAAATGTATCCATGAAGCTTTGGGTGATACCATGTCCTGGAGAACAATACATTTTAGAGGTGCACTGATATATTGGTCCAATATCAGATTAGCACCAATATAAAGAAAATTGCCTGTATCAGAAATCTACCTGATGTGGCCGATAATTTGGCTGATAAATGCCAAATGTGCATGCACGCAGCCGTAGCGCACGTAGGGGGCAAGGAGCACAGTCCAGCAGCATGGAGAGCTGTGTGCAGCTGGTAAGTCTGTTGTGGTGGAAAAGGAGGCGGAAGGGAAGGGATGTGGGGGGAAGATCAATGTCCCCTGTGGTAAGGGTGTGAGTGGGGCTGGGGCAGGGACTGGGGCAGGCACAGGATGGAGTCGCGGCTTGCCCGGGGGGG